TACATTCACTTTTCAGAAGTGACATATCAAACCATTCCCAACTGAAACAGACATTCACCCTAGCAGCAAATTTGTAGGAGGAAATGCATGATGTCACCTTATTAATAATAAAGTAATAATAATAATCATAAGATAAACACCACCAAGAGAAGAGGAATTGTTGGGTGAAACAGGAATGTGTGCAGAGAAAAGAAAAAGACACACACACACAAAAGAAAATTAGCAATCAACATGTAAATTACAAACACAAATGCAGTTTAATAGCTAACTGCAAAGAAAGGCATCTTTTTATTGAAGAAAATTTAATCTCTCTTTAAACATCAAAAAAAAAAATACACTGTGCTTAAATTCCAGGGCAAGCTCTAAAGACAGCTACAGTAATTTTGCAACATCAGAAAGAGAACCTGAATTTTCATAAAGTTTATCCAGAACTATCAAAAGACAGAAAATACTGTCTATATGTAGTGGGCCTACAGATGTCATGATTAAGGTATTCAGAGCACAGAAAGCTTTTTCGCTTGCATAAGGTGTTCTTTGAAAAGTTCTATTTTAACTACCAAAGCATTCATGAATCCATCTGTCCCTAATTACTGTTTCAAAAATAAATAACTCAGCAGAGAAACTGCAGCAATTATCAGGTAACAGTTGATTTCGAGTGCTTTCTATCAATGCCATCCAGAAATTTACACATACCTAATAGCTTTACAGAAAGCTAATCCAAACTTTCTAAGGACAGAAGGAAGACTACACAGGTTACATCTTAAAGCAACTGACTTCTCCAAGCAATGTTCATAACTCCAACAAAAGAGAAGTAAAAACTCACTACTTACAAATAACTACACATTTAAGTTTCACTACTTCATGCAAAAAGGTTTTTTATTTTATTATTATTATGATTTTATTTCACTACACAAAATGCCTTCCCCATGCCTCAGTTTACCCTGTTCAAGGTCATTTTTCCACCAGTATGACATCCTAAAAAAACGTCCAGGATGGTCTAAGGCTGTGTTTGCCAGATCTCTGCTTAGCCTGACGCACATTATCAGGAGGGTTGTTTTTACATAATGTGCTGCTGCTGTCAGGTGCTGTGGTGTAACACTCTCTGTCTGTGCAGAGCAGTATTAGCATGCTCCCTGCTTCTCTTTCCCTATTAAGCATTCAGATAACAGCACTTCCATGAGCTACGCTTAACATTCAAACCTGCAGTAAGCCTGCCTGTGATGGTACAAGTCTCCCAGAAATGTTCACCAGCAAAAGGACTAACAATAAAACTCATAAATTGAATGGCACATTTTCCTTCAAAGAAGTATTTTGTTTTGCCTTTAGGTGTTATACAATGCTACAATACAAGTCAAATAATGCTGAGAGGGAAAAAAAAAAAAAAAAAAAGTCAACAATTTTCATGCTAGTGTTGCATAACAGCTGTATTCCCTGCCTAACCAGACCTTCCAAGAACTCAAAATATTTTAACAGGAAATTTATTTATTATCTCCCGGTTTCTGATTGAAATAAAGCTAGGACCACCGAGATCCAGGATTCATAATGCTGCCAACAGCAGATGAAGTGTTGCACATACGTTATCTACGTGGTTTGCTTCCCCCTCCTTTCTATGCATTTTCTTACAAGACATATATCATGAACATTTTCTAAGTCAGACTGCACTAAATAAAAAGGAAAATGAGCTGTACCACATGGTTTCAGTGTCTCTATATCACCCTATCAAACATCTCAGCAATTTTTCCAAAAGCTGTGACAGGGCGTGCGTACAGCACCATGCAAATATGCCCATCTACAAAACTTGCTGGGGCTGTGCGTACAAGCGGCACTTGGGAGATGGCCCAGCAGGTAAATAAAAGCGTCGCTAGAAGACAAATAACCTCGAGAAGCGTAAAAAGCGGCAGTCCCGACGTATTAATTAAACTCGGGGAAGAAGTGCTCTAGCGCTTGACGTGCTCGGGACTGAAGAAGACAGGCGTACGGAAGGGATGCCCGCACCAGAGAAGGGGTTAGTCCGTGCTCAGCGAGGAGGGCGCTCCGCAAGTTAGCGGAAACCTTGCTGCGGAGCGGGCTGCGAGGGGAGAGGCCACTCTTTTTTTTTTTAATATATAAAACCTGTTTTCACACGAGGAGCGCGACCGCAGCCTGAAGCCGGGGACTCCCCGCAGTAGGAGCGGCGGATACCTGCGGGCAGGCGGCGGGGGAGCCCTGCCCGCCCCCCACCACCCCCGGGCCGCCCCCGCGCACCGCGGCACCGCCGCTCCCTCCCAACCCCACTAACCCCCCCCGGGGGGGGCAGCTCGGAGCCCCCCACACCCGGCAGCATCCCCCCTAACCCCCCCGGGTCCCGGTGCCCTCTCAGGGCAAATCCCGGGCGTCGCCCCCCGGCCCAGCGCGGAGGAGGGGGATGCAGGCGCGGCGCTTACAGTTCGCAGGAACTGGATCTCGTCCTCGCCCTCGCCCCCCTCGGCCATGGCTCCCCCGCTCTGTCTTTCTGCCGGGCGGCGGCGGTGGCTGACGGTGAGGAGGAGGAGGCGGCCGAAGGCTGGCCGCCCTACCGGGCTGGGGCAAGTGCGGGGATGGCGGAGGCGGCAGCCCCAGCCCGGCCCCGGCTGCGAGCGGGGTGCGGGTGCCCGCCCGCCTGCAGCAGGTTGGCGAGGCTCGGCACGGCTCGGAGCGGCTCGGCCGCCTCAGTGCCAGTGCCTGGCACAGGGGGAGGGGGATGCGATTAACGGCGGGGGGGGGAGGGCGGAGCTCCCGGCCCCCCCGCTGCTGCAGGTGATCCGCAGCCCGCAAACCCGCCGCCCCGCAAACCCGCCGCCCAGCGCCCCTTGCTGGCTGATCCGCGGAGAGGCGGCCCGGGGACGGACGGACGGACGGATGGATAGATGGATGGATGGATGGACGGACGGACGGACGGACAGACGGACGGAAAGATGGATGGGTGGATGGACGGACAGCACGCCCAGCTATATCCCCAGGGGTTCACCTCAGGCATCTGCCACCCAACCCAGCAGCCATTGCATAGCGCAAAGCAAAGGGAAGCAGGGTGGTGGCGGCCATGTGGCACATGCCTCAGTGTCTCACATAGCTCCAGGTCTGGCTCTGAGGGCTGCAGCTGGAGCCCCACACGCCTCCAGCACCTGCAGAATGGGGCAATGGGGAAACAGGTGGCCTGGGCCTGCCAATGTTGGAGAGGTGCCCTGAGAGAGGGGGATGTGAACCGCTCTATGGGCAGCTTGCACGAGCCAGGGGCTCATCTGGGAGAAGAGACAGGTGGGCTACATGGCTGCACAACATGGCATCGCAGTCTGTTGGCCTCTAAATATCATGTGAGTGCTCTTAGCCAGGGTGAAGGAGAGGCTTTACAACTGACCTTACTCTAAGGATAGCTAGCATGTTTGCCATGGGGTAGAGCAGAGGGTTACTATGAAATAGCTCATCTCCAGTGAGTGTTCCGAAATTACGAAGGACGTGTTATTTCTAGAAGTGAGGAAGCCAGGCCTCCAGCAGAGAGATGTTTGGCAGCCTCTAAGAGCTGCAAGACTTCTAATATCAGTAGTGCTCTAGAATAAATATATAGTGGGAAAGCTCTGCTAACATGATACAGTGGTCATGAGGTGAGGACAGTAGAGTATCTTAAGAAATAATGCAGTGAACATTGTATCATTGACAGTAACACATGTGAAGAGTGTGTATATGCAGTAGTCTCTTGAAGGACCAAAACAAGTAAACATAACAAAATCTCAACAATTTTGTTAAACAGAGTATGTGGCTAGCATAACAAGTCATGATGGTAACTAAGTGATTCTTGAGAAGCCATATCCATAGTCTTTAACTTTACAGTGTTCAAGGGCATTGTGAAAAAAGTTTTATTAAAGCTTGTTAAGAGATCTTATCATTACTCCCAGAAGTAGATAAACTGTTCTTCTGACAGACTGGCAAGTGCAAGGGCAGCCAAGATCCATAAGGTCTGTAGAACAAATAGCATATGAGTATTTAATACAGAGGTTCTACAGATGAACTCCAGCAGTTCATCAGTTAGGGCAGCTTAAGCATTTCCTCACTGTTTTCAGCTACTGATGGCTTCAAGAGATTTTTTCCTCTCATTTTTGCCTTTCCAACTGAAAATATTTTTTCTAAATATGATAAAAAAGTGAAATAAATGCTTTTCATATTGCTACAGTATTCATACCTCTTAAGTATCCTGTCCTCCAAATTATTGACTGAAAGATCAACTGAAAGTACTTGAAACGTACTTCTGCTAGGAAAGGTATGCTGAATAAGTAACATTTTGATTATGCTTTATCCCATGTTCAGAACAAGTCAGTTTAACACAGCAATTCACAAATGCATTTGACAGGCATGTAGAAGTCAGCTCACATGGTTTTACTTTCCATCGTGGTCTGAAGGCAAGTGGTGGCTTAGATGCCTGCCCAATTTGCTGCATGTAAAGCAAGGATGTTATAAGGAAAAGAAAGAAAAATCTATAAATAGTTCACTATAATATCAGTGACTGAAACATTTTGTACAGTTTTCAGTACAATAGTATGACAGAATAAAAGTTGTTCCGAGAACTGTGGAAACAAAGATACAAGGTTTCCTATAGATTTGTAGCTTGTAATTACACTCCTTGATGTTTAGCACAATGCAAACTCCAGCCAAAGTTTCTTCATGTTAGAGCAGCAATATTTCTCAAACATTCAGATTTGATGGTGTCTAATGAGTGAACCGTGTGCTACAGTTTTTCTGGCACAAGATAATACTCTAACTTTTTTACCCAAGCATCCCTTTCCATGAAATAGCTAGAAGCTAATGCATGTGACACTATCAGCCCTCTGTCATATTTGTTGGACTTTCTCAGTTAGTTAAAAGGTATGTAATAACAGAGAGAAACCACACATGGGTAAGTAATTTAATTTGCATAAGAAACAAAGTTAAAAGTAGTAAAGATAAAAGATCATTTTAATAACTTTCTGAACAGTGTGAAAAAGACCTGATGTCATTGAAATGAGAGCTTCTTGTTAGATTATCCTTCAAGAACTAATATTCATATGTCCATACACAGACTACTATATGCATACATGTACACAATGAATATTGCATATAGTTACAAAGTATGCATGGAATATAAAATCAGTGCACACACAAAAAGGCCAAAACAAAGTAAATTCCTAAGCCATGGAGGTAGGTTTGACTCGTTCTGTGTTACCTCACCCACACCACTCAGCTACAATGTATGTGCCTCTTCTTTTTCCACTCAAAATGTGACGCTTACTCTACCCATCTGGAAAGATGAGAAATGTTTTTACAATAAATTTCTGTACATGATGTGCAGCCTGCTGTTCCCCATGTAGTGCTCCCTTTGTTGCCTTGTTCTCACTGTGTTTCTCTCACAACCCAATTCAAAGTTTACCCCATTCAAAATCTCAGTGCATGTTTGTCATTATCACTATGACACATTGTGTATCTTGGTGCATTTTGCTGCTGGGGTTTCTTGCCCCTCTATAACACGCCTTTACCAGTCTTCACTGAAAACAGGTTTCTTGGAGTGATGCAAACAGGTTTCTTGGAGTGATGCAGAGCCAGTATAGCAGCACCAGTGCAACAGTGCCTCTGAGATACCCCAGCAAGATTCTCAAAATAATGTAGACAATATTGTAAGTATTTTATCACTTTAATTTCATAAATTGTAATCATCTACATTATGAAACTTAATACTATGTTAGGAGAAAATTCATAGATAGGTTTGTATGCACCCACTCAAATAATAATCTACATAAAACAAACATTGTCTGCTGTCTGAAATAATAGCAAGTACCATGAACATCAAGTATACAGTACCATAAAGGTAACTCCCAAGTGTTTCTTACTTTTCCATCTCTACTAGAATATATCACCATGCTAACTTTGTCTTCCTAGAAGCACAGAATAAGGCAATACCAATGGGAATGAAATGGTACTGTCCTTTCTTCCTCACACTGTTCTTTGTTACAGTATGTCAGACCTTCACGTCACCACCAGCCAGATACCAATCTTGTCTGAACACGTTATTCTAAATTGTGTAAAACTAAAAGGACTGCATCTTCTATCACGTCATAAATGAGTACCACTGTGGTCAATGAAATAGATGCAGTGTAAAATCTGTGCCAGTTTAGGTTCCAACTGTGACAAGGAAAATGAATAAAATGAGTAAACTTGATTCCCAATTGAATTTAAAATGTGATTTCATTGCAGATTAGTAGAGGTTAAGGAAGCATAATTATAACTAAGACCACATAGTTATATGCCTATCATGATTTCCCCAGAGTTCAATAATATACTGCATTTTTCTTCAGTAGTGCTCATCCTGAACACATAAAATATATAAATATTAGCTGCACGTCTGTCATTAAGTACACATCCTGTACTCTAGAAAATCACTTCGCAAACAACCATTCACATAGGCATACAATGACAGTGAAGTTTTTTCTGTTTTATGAGAACTTTAGTTATAATAAAATACAAAGACAATCCCAAAATTAAGCCACTGTCTAATTATAGGAAAAATCTCCCCCATAGTTGCATTTTGCATTTGAATGCAAACAGTCATTTTCTGAGACCTTTTCTGTTACTTTTCTTTCTGTCATCAGCTGAACCTGGTGAGCTCTTTCCTAAGTGTAGTCTGGAACATGGCAGTGACCAAGCATGAAAATTTATACCTTTCCCCCTAAACCAAGAAATTATCAGTACTTGGAGCATCCTTCTTGGCAAAGCTCAAAGCTTTTAGCTTCTCTTTCCATTATTGTGTGCAGGATTATTACCATGAAGGAGGAGCTATGGGTCTTCTTAGATCTTGGGGAATAATAGTTTGCTTGGTTGTCATGTTCCTGTTTCCTTGGAGTTTTTATTGCTTTTTTAATCTTCTTCTAATGTACTTTCCAATAAATTCACTGGAAACTATTGTGAGGCATAAACTTGGAAAAATAAATATTTTTTGAAGGGGACTTTTTTTTCTTTTGTTTGTCTGCAGGCATTACTATATCACATTTCAAAATATTATCAGTATACATTAAAAGTGCACACAAAACACCATCCTCAAAACAGTTTTTCCTGGTTGCCCAGGTCTTCTTACAAATTATGTCTTTATGTAACTGTACATAATTCTCAAAATTGGAATTCCATATTTGTGTAGCCAATGAGGAGGGTAATTTTTTAATAATAATTGATATTAATCATGTGTCAGTCTCTCAAAAATCCATGTAAAGCATTGGAGGTGAACAGGTTTTTAAGGTGCTTCAACGTGTTTTCAAGTAAGCACTTAGATATTCAGCGTTTCTGATTTATTCTGAACAAGTTCATATCAGAGTACCTAAATAACCCTTGAATAAAGGTGGGGAAATATCTTCTTCTTCTTTTTAATATCCAAGAACCTTTATGAATGCAAATAATTAAGAGATTGGACAAGCTCAAAACAGACTTATTTCAAATGGTAGGTTTTTTTTTCACATTTTTGGTTGTTTTTTTTTCACATTTTTGCCTTCAAAAAATGGAGTTTGAGTGATACAGCAGACTCACAGTTTGTTCTGGGGAGATGCAGAACAATTATTCCATGGCTGCTGAGACAACTATTTGTACACAGGGGGAAGAAGGGCCAAGGGAAACAGCGAGAGCACTGGGAACAGCAGGAAACTTCTGCTAAGAGAAAATGAATTCTCTGCGTTATTGGTATTAATCAGACACTGGCTACCAAAGGTGGAAGTTGCTGGCAAGTTTTTAGAAATAACCAATAATTTTTGTGTCTTCAGAGAAAATGAAAAGAATATTACTTGCACGGGGATATATTTAAATTACTCAAAATGATTATAAGTTAGTGACAAAAAGGAATTGGTAATCACCACAAAACTCACTTGGATTGACCACTCTCCAATTTAATATCCTTTATGTCAGCAGTTGAAATGTATTTTTCTCATAGACATTATGGGAGGTGATGATGTTAGCAGAAGCCTGGAGAAGCTGCTAGAAAAAAGAGGCAAGAAAAAGGAGGTACTGGAAGAAGGAAATGAGGAAAATTTAAAGGACTTTCAATTGTTAATATTAAACCTGTGAGCTACAAAATCATTGGATTAATAGAATTTTTACTTTTCAGCTGCCATTTCTTCAAATGTATCATAACAAATTCCAATACTTGAATATTTACACACTTTAAGACAGAAAACACTACCATAAATCGAAACTTAAAACTTGGATTCATAACTAGGCCTAATGCAAACATCTCATTTGAATTGTGACTATGACAACACAAGTGCAGGATTACAACTGCTACTAGGTGAACTGTTCACTGTGATCAAATGATTAATTTGGCTTTTATGAGCCCCTTCTCCCCCAAAAAATGTGCAAACTGTTTTACTGATATATTTGTTATTCATAATTGTCGGAAACAATCTGGCCATAATTTTGAGAAATGTACACTTGGCTTTTACCTTAGAATACTTGCATGTCTGTGGTGTCACATAAGAGGGAGTATTGTTTTGACTTCCTCACTGGGTGACAAAGTCAGAAGGGTGAGCATTAAATACGATACGTAAGCACAAGTAACCTTGTTCACATGCCAGAGCAGATAACTGGGGAAAAAAATAGATGTTCCTTACATACTGACAGGAAAAATCTGTCATGAGGATACTTTTTCCCACCATCATTTTCACTGACCAGCAAAAACACAGGCTCCCAGGTTTCACAGTTAATTATCAATTTCTTAAATGTAAGATTATTACATGGGGTAAAAGATTTGTTTTTCTTTATAATTATGATGAGTTGATTCCAGAATTCATTGCAGACTTCCTCTAAGTCATTCTAATGTCCCCTGCATGAGCTATTTTGCCTGGAAGGGCATGCATGAGCTATAATTTCCTTTTGACATTAAAAGCCACGAATCTAAACACAACTGCAGTAATGCAGAGGAAAAAATGTTTGGCTCTTAACTCAAGATTAGTCTCTGAAGCCATTAAGAAGTGAAAGCTCCATGGAGGCAACAGAACCCAAACCACTGAGATTACATTCCAGTCACAACAAGTACTTAACTGCTGTAGATACAGTATCTGGACAAGGCAATATAGTAAATAACCAACATTCAATTGTCCATTTCACTAATACAATTTTAAAAAATATATTCATTAACAAAATTATAAGAGATAAATAAATAGTTTTATTTATTGACAAAAAATAGTTAATATAAATGGGTAGGAGAATTCCTTAATTGGAGACTTGTATCACATACTAAGAACAAAGCAAGATATTAACAGTACTTATAATTTTCTTGTTTGAGTACAAGATTTATATTTACTATGGTTCCGTTATTTTTATAATTAAAAAGAAAATTGTTTCCTCATCTCTGTGAGGAAACTATATTACTTATTTTGTTTAGGCACTTAGTATCTCATCCCTTAGCAATAATAAATCACCTCACCTCTAGAAACTGGAAAGTGCATTTCTAATTGCTTACTGAATAAAATGGGAAAAGCTGGATGCATCTGAAGCAAAATCTATAGAGCAAAGTACTCTGTATTCTGAGAGGAGGGAAGTATTTAGGGCTTTCTGTTGTTAAAGAGTTCAGTTTGCCACACTAAACTGGATCTAGAATCTGTGAAGACCAGCTTCTGGTCACCTTCCATAACAATAAAAGAACTGTTGTAAACAGGAACCATCTAGTTCTCCCATCCTTTCTAATAGTAAGTATTTGATTGTGGCTGACTGCCTGTTTCAAAATATTTGTTAAGAGGAATACCTGTTATTACAGATCATGTACAAAATTATCTTTTAATCTCATTTAAAATTCAAGTATTCAATAATTGTTAAGCTCAAGAACACAGTACTCATTCATTGTTACAAAAATATTTTGTACCTCTTAATTGGATCGTTTTGTACCATCACTAAGATCCCAGATATGTCTATTTAGTACCTTAAGAAAGGTTCACAATTTTCTGGAGTAATAGTTCCCTCCAGACATTACTCTTCTGTTCAATCCTCCCTCCCAGTTCATGGGTTCTGCTCTGATTCAGGTCGCTAAGACTGATACCATAGTCAAAGTTCCTTTATGTTTTCCAGAATATGGGACTTTATAAACCAATTGAAACACTCATCCATTCTTCTCATGTACAGGGGTGTACCAACAAGTGATCAGTGCAGAAAAGAGCTGGATTTTTTTCTCCTTGCATCATCCAGGATTCTTAACTCAGGTGCTCCTGCTTCCCAGGTTCATCTGACAGCAGAGGATAAATTCATATCCACTAAAACAATAAGTGAGTATTTATTAATTCCCATCTTGATTTTTGCCTTTTTTTTTTAATTTGATCTTTAAAATCTATGATGATATGGCAGTATCTTTCTTTTCACTCCTTTTAGTGTGCAGCTCTCTTTCTAGTACTTAAACATTGTGCAGCCTGTTAAATGTTTACATGACAATGCACTGTTTGCTTAATAATACAGCAAAAAAGTCACATAAAAGCTATATCATGAAGTAACTATTGAAAAATGTTGTCAGTAAGTCACTGTAAGCAGAATGGTTTTGCTTCATTAAAACCTAGAGAACCATACCTACTGTAGTTAAGATCATCTTGTCTTTAAGGTTGCCAAGGCTGTCTCAATAGCTTTGGAGATTTTATTAGCCTGTTTCAGTAGGGCTAACCTCCTAGTAACCAGAGTGTGAAAAGGCCAACTCAAGGCAGGATGACACAGGCTGAGTAGAGATACTGTTCTCCAACCACGGGAAGAGTGGAGCACCATCCAGCTTCAACATTTCTAACAGGCCAGCATACCCAGCAAGGAAGGGAAGCTGCACTGCAGTGTCACCCACTTAGAAATAAGAGGTTTGGAAAATTTCCACATTTCATTTCAAGGCAGACATGGTTTCAGTTTAAACACTCAGCTTTGCTTTAAAGCAGAACCCCCAGGCTTTTCTGCATATTGTAAATGGGGATTTTAATTGTTCAATTAACATTTGCTTTTTTAACAATACATCATGATTTCTGGCATTAACAGCAGCTATGCAGCTCAGCTTTCTTTGACAACTTTGCCTAATCTGCTTATTGAACTTTATTTTAAATGCTTGATTCCATGCTTGCCTCTTAGCAAGTGTAGTCATTGACACCAGCAAAAAGTGGGTGTAAAGCTCTCCCACGACAGAGCAATAACATTTTACACCCACGTTACCCAGATGTATATCACTACAAAGCAGCAGAGAACAAGGATTTTATGTTTTGGAACAATATTAGCAGATTTTGAGCTGACTGCTACAGGAAACTTAAAACAAGCTCATAAACAATTAACAACAGGACACATTCAGGTTTGTGCTGATTTAGCAGAAGGCAACAGTTTATTTGTTGTTCACCTCTTGTCCTGCTAACAAGAACAGATAATTTGCTAATATATTTTAGTCCCTGCCTAGTGATCCTAAAGCATAACCAGAGAATCACAGAATATCCCAAGTTGGAAGGAACCCAAAAGGATCATTGAGTCCAACTCCAGGGTCCCCAAAGGACTACCCAAAAAATCAAACCATGTGTCTGAGAGCATTGCCCAAAAGCTCCTTGAACTCTGGCAGGCTCAATGCCATGGCCACTGCCATGGGGGGCCTGTCCAAGTGCATGACCGCCCTCTTGGTGAAGAAACTGTTCCTGACATCCAGCCTGACCCTCCCCTGACACAGCTTCAAGCCATGTATGCTTGAATAATGCTAACATTCTTCACTGATCTTACAAAACAGAATAGGTATATGGAAGGATAGAACTATCAGTGCAACTACAGCAGCACCAAGTGCACTCTCCACTGAATTAAACTTTCGGGATGAGAGAACCAATACTGCTTTACCTCTCCTGCAGAAAAGTGCATCTATTACAAGACACGAAGACAAGCTCCCATTTGGGCCACAGAGCAGACCTTATTTATTTTGAGTTAAAGCCATGTAGGAGCCTAAAGGAGTGAACCACTTAAAAATTTTTGCCCTCATCAGGTAATATTAGTTCTAAAATTGCTATTCTCTGTAGTGATACTGCTATTGCTCACCTCAGCCTAGCCCCCCAGCTGATAGGAGCAGTGGTCGTTGGGATCCTCAGTTGTATTTCAATGTCATGTGGCTGCAGGGGAAAGAACTGCGACTGCTCTGTACAGTGGCTCCTCCACTTTGGATCTGCTTTCAGAATTCATAAATACAATTGTTCACAGGCAAGATAAAACATTCAAATGACACATTAATCCTAGCAAAGGAAAAGAAGCACAAAGCAGGGCATTTAATGAGTCTTGACATAAAGCTTTGTCATTCAAGTAGCCGCATACATAGTTCTGCACTTCCTCTCCCCTCAAGTGCGATCTCCTGTTGTCCTTTTAATGTTTTTGCAAGATATCTCAGTTCTGCTGCAATTGCAGGTTCCCACAGTCCTTGAAGCTCATTATCTTCACTACTGCTGAAAGAAAGAAACAACACAGGAACTAAATATATACTGAATCTCAAGAAGGCAGCTATTTGCAGTGATACTTCTATGCATTTATTTTCCCTTGCAGTGCTTGCATAACCACCCCCTCTGAGCTCTGCCCATTGTGTACAAATGCAGCTGAAAAGTACTATCTGGTCCACTTCAAGTGGCACAGAAAGCTAGTTTTATCCACAGAGCAGTGCTTATTTGTTTTACCACATATGGCATGATACACAACTTTATTTTTTGCCAAATTAAAAGCAGAACCCTGAAATTTATGTAGCATGCTTTTGCCCATGCACCAAATGGTGTGGAAAGCAGTCATGCTTTATATCTGCTCCATTTTGAAAACCCATATTAGAGGAGCTTCCTGCAGATGGCAAACATCTTGGTCTCTGATTAGGGCTGGGAGAAAGTTGTTATAAGCATATTTCACTTCTCCCTTCTAAGATTATTTGCTGATATTCAAAGCAACTGTTCTTGCTAGTCAGAGATAAAATGTTAACTGCTGTTGTTGAGGATTTCAGGGTAGAACTCCAGTCAGACAGATGTCCTCATGGTTGGAACATTTCCCAAAAGGTCAAGAGAACTTGACTCTCTCAAATAACCAGGTAAGGAAGTGTATCACTTTGTATAGAAAAAGTGAGTCAAAAGTGTTTAGCATGGTAATGTAAAGGACTTGTTTTAAGAGGCTTATCATGTCAATTTGGTTTCACAGTAGAAATACCATTAAAATGGTCTGATTTTTTTCTTAAATAAGTAGAAAAAAGGTAAAGCACATTAAACACATTTTTCATCTTCCATTGCTACACACTTTAGAGAGAGCTTCCATAAGGGAAAGCCCTTCTACTTTGTCTTAAAGAGGGCAGTAAGTGTTCCTTTGGGACAAAATGATAGCTAGTTGAAATTGGTACTAGTCTTTAAAGCAAACCAAACAGAAAGAAGGGGAGAAAAGTACAGAAAATATGAAGAAAAAGAGCTGCTATTTTGGTGCATCTTACTTTCAACTCTCACTTGCACCTGGAAAAAGACAGGCCCAGTACAGGGTCTTATCAACCACTCCAAAACCTGGCAAACTCCTAGCAGTGTCTGATGATTCAAATGCTGCTTTTAGCTGCCCTTTTAGTCATGGGTTCATAGCAGTGAAACAAGACATGCCACAGTCTTAATCAGCTAAGTCACACCTCCTAGGAGAACACAGACACACAGAGGTCAGAAAAGGACCTCTAAGAAGAGCGTAGGAAGGAAAATGGACATGAGATAGGAGGTGATGGTGAAACTCAACTGTTGTCCATTATTTATATTCCAATTGATGTCATGGATTTAGCCTAACTTACGGGGATGATAATACCCTTCCTTCTTCCTAGCAGTGCGCGGACAAGACATCTGTCAGGATTGGATGATAACAGTCCAGTCTCAAATGTGCCTTCCTTTAATTTCAGCATCTGTGGGCCCAAAGAATCAGTGGAAGAGAAAAGACAGTGGCTTTACTCAACATATATTTTAGAAAGAGAAAACAGTCAGTCATGTTTTGATTTGTTTTCACACAGTGGAGTATTTTATATATTCTGCTTCTTCATCATTAGAAAGAAAAAAAAAAAAAAGAAAAAAGAAAAAAAGTCAGTCTTGTTCAGACAAGCCAAAAGCAAGCAGATCATTGGAATTTTACTAGAGGAAAGATTTCAGCACAAGCAGAGATAACTGTGTCATTTCCCTAAACCTTGCAAGAGTAAGTACCTGCATTTTTCATAGAAGTAGAAAAACCCTAGTTTTCTGTTTTTTTCAGATTTGTGCAGTAGCATACAAAAGCCAATAGTTAAAAGTTCAACGGGATGTACCCTTGATTTAATCTTGATCTTACTGGATCTTGACATAGTAAAGACTAGATCTAGAGATAATAAAGATTTCTAGTCACCCCAGTATTGCTACCAGTTGCAGTTTCCATACTGTTTTGTTGAGGTTCATTTGTTCAACTTTTAAAAGGTTCAACTTTCTTCAGAATATTACTTCACCACCCAGAAACTAATTGTCTCTTACAATTTTTTAAAACTAGTTATCAAGCTGAAATGATTTTTCTTTATTAATTTCTTTATTAATTCTTCTTAGTATGATAACAAATTTTTCTTTTAAGCATGCGTTATTCAAGATATTACTACTGAATTTTTGGCAGAATACGTATTAGAATTTTGTTGTTATACAAAGTACCTCCTCCTCCTCTTATCCTCCTCCCCCTCCTCTTATTCTCCTAGATGACTTTGAGATGATAAAGCTACCAAAGGGAAACTTTTGTAAAACAAAAAACGCAACAGAAAAAATACATGAATCAACTGATGTGCACAGCCCATGCCCCAGCAACTGGATGGCCTCACTAAGCATGTGTCTATTTTTATTTCAGCAGCTATATAAATATATAAGCCCCATCTTTTTGACCAGAGTATGAATCACAGAAACTACATGCTCCTGAAAAAGCCTTCTCTCACTACATTTAATGGAATACATCCAAAGTAGATTTCTCAGTGAGACTACGCTCCCATCTGCAGTGACATTAGCAGTAAAAAATACCTCTTCATATGCTTGCTGCCCATTTTCTAAAATGAAACAAAACTCAGTATGTGACCAGAAAAAGAAAAGCAAGGCAGAAAAAAAAAGGCAATGCCATAGCTACCTACAGGGACAGAGCAGCAAGTCACATCCATGGGGTGAAGCAAGGTGCTATGTGAGGAAATGATGCAGTCAGGCCTGCACTGAGCTGCTTTGAGAACCATGCTGGACTGCACAACTGTTCACAGAGAAGTACAGAGGGTAAGGAAAGCGACACTGTTCATGCATACCCTGTATGCCAGGAAATTGGTTTTGCATGCCTCCCCCAAATATACAGTGCTCAGACTATAAAACTCCATTACAGCCAATTTAAATACATGTTGATTGTAAGTTGGGAGTATATAGATGTACAGGGAAGTGTAACAGTACCACTGAAGATAGCCCAGTGCTGTAAGGGGAACAGTTAGCACAGAACACTCCACAAGAACACTGCTACATAAGAACAGTAAAAGATAAACACCCCAATCTCTTTGCCAGCAGTCAGGCCCTGAGGAGGTGAGAGGAGATGAAGATTTGCTTTATGATCCAAATTCTGTTGGTATTTTTTTCAGTTTGATCCTGAACAGCCATAGAAAACTTTCTGTTCAAGCATCTGATGCTTCTTGGTGTCACTATGGATAGCAATTCAACCATAACCAAATACATATCTCTCAATTTTCTGACAACAATGCCTTAGATGAAGGTCTGCAATTTAAAATAGGGAGAGAGAGGGAATTGTTCTCCTGGTTACAGAAAGCCATCAGTGCAACACCCAGGAACATACCCAGGAACATCCAGAAGGATGCACAGCATCCTACGTTTGCACAGCACCACATCTACTTCCAGTGGGGAGTGATAGTGCCATCCTATGGGAGCAAGATCAGACGCATCCATGGGCATTACTCTGATTCAACATCTTCTGAGATGCCCCAGTGAGATATATGCCCCCTGCAGTAACATAGCAACACCTTCCACCATTATTATTTTACCAGGAGCAGACTGCTCATCTTGGCCAATGACCTGGCATCTCACCCCCATTTGCTGCTTACTCTAGCTTTGATTTTCCTTGAGTGCAGATAGCATATCTAGTTATTCTGGTTTGCATGTGAAAACCACAGAAAGAAGAGGTTTGCTCTACAGTTTGCATTACAAGTTACGATTTGCTGTTTAACTTACAGTTTCGAGAGTATATCCAAGACCTGGAATACGACCAGTAAATCCCTTTAGTGTCAGCCATCACTTTCTCTCATTCCTTGATTTGCCAGAGAAGAAAAATGTCTTTTGACAAGAAAGTCTTAAGAAACCGTATATAAGAAAGCTTTGTAAAAAATCACATTTGTGCCTTGTGCTTATGTTCTTGTGCATCTGGTCCAATTGAAAGCAATGCATCAATAGCCTCATGTGATAGTATTTAAAAGTAGTAAGCATGGGAGTAAATTCCTTAGCTTTGTATGTTATTGAATCTAATGCACCAAGGTCTGATTCTAAAAGGGTGTCTCCTGCAATAGTTAATGCAGATATTTGAGCATTGCCATGCAAGTTCTGAGCAACCCTTCTGTTTTACATAACATTTCCCTTCAACACCGTAGTATTCAAGCATTTCTGAAATGAGCAATGAGCTCTTGACTGGTATCTGTCACACTCAGTTCATTTGAGAGAATTAACACTCTCTACTGGAAAAATGGAACATGCAATTGTTCAGAATGGGTTTGACATTTTTTAAATGGCATTGAATTAAACAGCATTGAAGAGAGTGAGTGTGCCATGCACTCGGACTGAGAAATCATTACCTTTGTATCAGATCCTGTCTCCTGGAAAATTCATTTCAGAGGATCAGATGTGAGCACTGAACATCAAAGCTTTAGAAACAGCGCTAATCTCTTAAGGTGATATCCTAGGGAAAAATCACCACAAAGAACAAAACATTTTTATAAGTTAGGTAAGTGCTTGCTCCATTGGATCAAAGATGAAATGTGAAAAAACAGTTTATATTGGCCATCAAGTTATGCAGTGCTTTATACAAACCAGGAGGAAGTCCCTTGCCCCCCAAAAAACTCTCATGCTCTTAGTGTTTGTATCAAAAGAAGTGATGCCAGTTTGATGCTTAAGTAATCCTTCAAGCAAAGGACATTTAACAACAGGAAGACATGATACTGTGTCATTTGACACGCTGGGTCCTACAACACATACCAAAACAGTGAAGAACAGCAGTGTTACAGAGACATCAGAACAGCAGGAGAAATAAAATTGCTTGGAAAAAGGTTAGACAATATCTGAGAACAAGGTCGTCTCAGAAACTGAGATGTGAACACAAATTTTGCTTGCTGAAGGGGTTTCATTGTACAGATGGTTACTACTTCTGTGTCCCAAAGAGTGTATGTGTATACTGTACATGCTAGGTTCTGCTTAATAAAAAGTGTTTTTTTTTCTACCTCCATTAACAGCCCACTTTTTGGTAAGAAAATTAAATTTTAAGATATTTGAGCTTACACAGCCCAGTCTCAGGTGCAAGAACTATGGCCAAAATGTAGCTCTCAGCTGTGTTCTTGCCTTCCCTTAGAGCTCTGACTAGGTAAGGAGCCGTAAAATTTCTTTCAGATGACTAGAAAGTTTATATATTTTGTGTGCCTCCTGGCTGGTACTACTCTCCAGATACTCATACACATATTTAGGGGTAGTGGTAAACATAAATCTCAAGAGATGAAATCTAAAAGTCTGTTATGCTAACTGATGGAAAGATTCCTTCTTGGTCTGGCTCTGTTGGCTTTTCTTTCCCTTTCTGTGTTACATAAAACAGCCTTATAGGTCTGATTCCATTTAGTTGTCACTTAGAGTGGATATTTTTAGTCCATAAATTTCAACACTATCTTGAAACAGTGTTAAGCTAAGGACATCCAGTGATATGAGTGAGTGTAACTTGACCCTGTTTTTCTAAACAACATAGATGCTGATAGTATTAATCTCTCTTTCTATACCTATGTTTTCAAACTGAAATCTTCAAGCAGAAAGTAATTCAGTAACCACTGTCCCTGGGTAATTATCAGACACCAGAATCCACTGTAAAGAAGATGCCAGGCTTCTCAGACTTTCTGAAGAAATCCAGATTTGGAAACCCTCTGTACTAAATGGTGTTCTTGTCCACTAGTAAGTCTGTCTTCTTCCCAGATAGAATTCTTTTTTCTCATGTTGTCATGCAATTTTTTTAACTTTAGTCAGGAGAAAATTTCACATTAACCCTGTAACAACAGAAAGATGCATTTAAAAGAATAACAATAAATACACTAATGCTATTCAGACGTAGGATGATCTTTATTAAGATGCTGGAAAGCCTAAGAAAGGATGAATATTGACAAAAACAAGATTTTCACCTGTTGTACTCTTTTTCACCTTAAGGAAAGAAAATTTCACCCAGTTAAAAGAAACCTTTGGATACAATATAGCCCTAATTCCTTCAGTAATATTACATGTATTCAGTATTTAAATGACCAGTTTATCAAGAACACAAAGGCCTAATTTCAGAACTGGATGGCAGGTGGATATGCAATTAGCAGCCTACAGGGAACTGAATGCTGAACCTACTTAAATGACTGTTATGATAAAGAAGTTTGACTGTCCCGTTTCTTTCCTTTTTGGACTTTTTCTACCCTTACAGTATCTCAGTACTTCTACCTACTTAATAAGATTTCTTGATATACAATGTCAATTTGTACCTTCTAGGGCTGTCACTCTAAAGTTTTCTATACATGACATTTACATACTTTTAGTATTTTATACCAGTTACTGTTTCAGACTGCCCACTTTGTTCTCCCACTCAATTCTGTACTGATTCATTATTCCAGTTTAAATTTTACCAGCAAATTTTTAGCTTTTTCCATCCTTAACTTTATTTCTTATGGTCAACTATACACATACATACTGCTGAATGCTAGAAAATCCATTTTTGTACTTGGCTTATAGTAACAATTCTTTTTATTTAATAATGTATTTTTGGTGACTGGTTTCATGTTTTCAGAGTCATCCTAGGAATCATTTTATTAGGAGCAGTAACTTGTCACAAACTGAATCAGTAACTCTGTTTCTCTAAAATTGAGAAAGTGGCTGGCTATGCATCCAGCTTTGAGATTTAATCCCCTCTAGTTAGCCTTCAGAAACATTTTCCTAATCTGCTTGAATACCCCAGAAAGTGACACTTGATCAATGTCAAAATTCAAAGAGGGATGCCAAGGTCCCCAGGCATCTCAGTGTCTGAATGGCGGGAAAAAACAAACAAACAAACAAACAAAACAAAACAAAACAAAACAAAAAAAAAAAAAAAAAAAAAAAACACTAAAATCAGAAACTTATTTGAATGGAAGGAAGCCCCTAAAATCCAGATTTTCCAAAACAGAAAACCTGTTCTACTATCTACTATAGATAACAACATAAATTTAAGATAACAAAGTTAGCCAGAATATTACAATTTTATTCTGTTCTAGCCAGATATGGAAACAAACTCAATTGATTTTTACAGGTTTATTTTTTCCTAATTAACTTGGGCCAAAGTAAGGTCTCAGTGTCTGATATGCTGTTTCCTAGTTTAAATACATAGTACCTTGGTGTTCAGGCCTGGTTTTAAAGATGCTTAGACTTCAATGTTTGCTAAAAACAGCGCAATTAAAGAAATGCATTCACCAAGACTGAACTCTAGATTTGCTTGGATTTTATGTATCTGTACCTTCACAACTTCTGATGAATAATTGCACAGTGGAAAGTCATTGCAAATCTAATTTCTTACAGAAAAAAAATGATTACTTTAGTTCTCAAAAGTTAACTTAAGAATGTGAAGTCTTCTCATAGAAGCTTTAAAAAAAAAAAAAAAAAAAAAAAAAAAAAACTTGTAATATCTTCATAAATCTAAGTATTTGATGGTCTCAGAGTGACCCTAAACAGATTTTGATGACTGAGAAAGCTAGTAAGCAAGCACTAGTGTAATTTGCTGGCCCTGCCTTACTTTCAAGTTACAAAAAATAAATTGCAGTTCTGAACTGGCAGGGAAAATGTTAAGCTGGAGCTTTTCAGCTGTGTCTTTGTCTGCAAGCACATAAAATGAATCATATTATGCATAGTCCTCTGCATTTCTGAGACAAAGTCATGCACCAACTAAAGATAGATTTTAATCCTACAACCTATGTGAGTTTCTAAGGAAGATGATGTAATTCAAGGAGGAGGTAATGGTATAATGCAGAATTAACTGGATAAGGTTCGACAGCCTGTAGAAGAGATGAGAGCAAACGATTTTAATAGTGTCTTCTGAGCTTAAAAACCACAAAAGCCTTGCTTTGCTTTTTTTGAAAACTGATCATCAAGACTGCAGTGCTGTTTGACATTTTTGGACAAGACCAAAACTAATGCAGAAAAAAAAAAAAAAAAAAAAAAAAAAAAGAAGAAGAAAAAAAGCTACACTAATTTTCAAAAGAGAAAACTTGCTAAAACTTTTGAAAAAATAAAATGTTGAAAAACTGGCCTCACACTAACCTTAGGGAATATGTATACTGCCAAGACTTTTCACACACACCCGTTTGCCTGTTCTTGCTGCACTTGTATTTTCCTAACTCTTATTGTACCCATCATAGTGGCAATGCTCATGTAAACTTGTTTTGCAGCAGCTTAGTCTTTATCTGATCTTCGCAGCTTGAGGGACTGGGAGTGCTTCTCTGTTTACTTCTCTGCTGCAGAGCCACACAGTCTCTTCCAGCACACCAAAACTATTAGAATGATGAATTATCCATTCCTTTTGTTCCCAGATACAACCATCTTGGTTACTTGTATGACTAAATATTTGTTGTCATCTCACATTCGTAAGTATTCTACTGTGGCTGAAAGTGGCAAAACAGCAACACATAAATCACAAGTTTTACTTTTCCATTCCATACACCACAGCCCAATAAAAAAATCATGATAGACTGAAGAAGCTGAAAAGGAACACAGACCTTACAGCTCTGTGTTTGAGAGAGCAAATGCAGGTATTTACCAGACCACTTAAATGCTGTGAAGACCTTTTGTAACAATTACTTGCTTAGAGCTTTTACTGTGTCATTTTTATTATGTTAAACGGAAGAGCAGTTGAGCTGCTGCCCTGAATCTCTCTCTGAGGAAGGATTTTTGTCTCTACAGACCATACAGGGAACCTTGCGCAGCTATGTTCCTAAATCAGGTGCCCGAACATACACAGTGTGACTGCTCTTGTGCATAGGGTAACGCACTTACACCCACAACCAAGACAGCCTTTTTGCCATTTGAAGCAGAGTGCACTCTCCCAGGCAGGCTTGTTTCATGCACTGGCAGCATTCTGCATTCAGCTGAAACCCATGTGAGCAACATGGATCTGACAGAAAGTGCCGTACAATTGTTGCCTTACACAGCCAGCTGGGAGGCCAAAAATTGTGCTCTCATGCTGATACACCACCCTGGTGCTACAGTAGGGTCACAGAGCCCCAAAGGAAAGTGTCTGCACTTACCCAGTCATGCCAGCTCACACAGCCTCGAAGAATGGGGCACCTCCGGGGTAATGTTACTGCGCTGTCAAACTCCTTCTCCCAGAAAAGCTGCCCAAGCTCTCAGCTCTGCTGCCAACGTGTGACTACATGCTGGGGTAACAGTAGGCTGTGGGATGGGCAAGCTCAGACCCTACAGTGGTGTGAAGGAGATGAAGCTACAGGAGAGGGGACTGTAGGATTCAGGGCCAAGGACTGATGTTTTACAAGGGGCTTAGGGGTCTCCAGGGATCTGTTGTACAGGGCTGCAGTAGACCCAGCAGCGACTGTACGCCCCAGCTTCCCGCTAGGCCTTGGCTGTATTCCAGCCCCAGGGCCCTCCTTTGGGGAGCTTCCATGACAAGGCAATGACTGAAAGGGAGGTGCTGCATGCCCCTGCCAGCCCGATGGGGCAAGGAGGAGAGTTGGATGATGGTGCACATGGTACAGTGAGCAGCCTCAGTACAGCCCTGCTGTCATCTCCCTCTTCCCCAGGGCCTGCCTTCAGCCTCACCTCCTTGGTATCCCTGGGAGCCCTTCTGCACGAGGAAGAGGAGAGGAGTCCTTGTACCTCGCAGGACTCAGGCAGTAGGGACACAAACCCACCAAGACCTATCCTTGTAGGACTCAGCAGCAGAAGGAAGGGAAAGAAACCCTGGCTCAGGGAAGGAAGATCCTCACAGCACTCCCAATTTCTTCCACTCTCCAGGTGCAAATTCAAACTAAAGCTCTCCCTCCCCTTCTTTTTAACCTCTGTCCCCTCCCTCTAAGGATTTATTTCGTTCCTACACTGCAGGTAGTATTGATGATAACTCTCTGATACAGTCTGTCAGGACCCTAATAAAGTGAGGTTTAAGCATGAAACAATTCAAAAGTCAGTGACCTCGACTTGCACCAAGTTTAATTATTTTTAATTTTTTTAAACCATTTAAAAATGTCTTCTCCTTTCCCTGCTACTGGGGGAGAGTGGGTGGAAGCTGTGTGAGGTGGCTGGCTCTGTGCAGCGTCCCAAGTGCACTATTTAGGGCTTGTTCTCATCGTTCTGGCAAGTTATTCTGCAGCTTAAACTTGTGAGATTTGTCTCCACGGTAGGGAGCTTTTGGTTCACTCGTGGCAAGTGAACAGAGACATATTGTGGTGTAGCATTCCTAAATTAGCCTGCCAAAGATAGGTACTATTAGGATAAAATAAGGAACAAATGGAGCACTTTCTTGTCTAAAATTAGGCAAAGTGTTCACAGAGCCATTACAAAGCATGATCCCCATTCTAAGCTTCAGATTTTGACCATATTGTCTGACTTCAATTTCACTGGGTGATTCTTGTACAGTAATTACCAATGAAAAGATTGGTATCTTTTAGTAAATTAGTTGTATGCTAGAAAACTCTTACTATTTTAGCATTTGGTGACTGGTTCAAGTAATTACCCTAGCTGTGAAAAAAAAAAAAAAAGTGGAAAAAAAAGTTCCTGTGAAAGTCACTATGCTTGTGAACTCTTTACATTCAGGCAGGGCTTTGCTATAGATCTCATCAGGAAGTCTTTCTTCCCAATGGAAGGTAGTTTGTAAATTTTTGAATTTTCTTTTGGCATTTCCTCCTTCAAACAATTCAGCAGTACTGAAACCTCTTGTTTTCAGCGCTTAGAATAAGCAGAATGTGACAAAGGTCTGAGAACCTAAAATACTCATATACACACTATTTATTGCTGTTATACTTCATATTTACCACAGGTATTTTTACTGTGCTTTTTAATTCACTGCAATGTCATAACCAGAAACACAGTCCTTAGGTGTCGGTGTTTCAATACTCAATAAACATACTCAAAGGGCAATAATCATGGTATAAATCAATTACCTTTTCAGTCAAATAAAAGTCTACATCTGAACTGTGGAGTTTTCAGCTAGATCTCATTACCACACCTTTCAAGCAAACATTTCTAATAGCTTAACACATCACCAACAAGCAGGGAATACGAACATTTGCAGGGTAACTTAGGTGTCCTCTTAGTGTCATTATACCTTCAGGGTTAAATAAATTTCAGTGAATAAAAATATTTAAATAAATAAAAATATTTAAATAAATAAAAATATTTAAATAAATAAAAATATTTAAATAAATAAAAATAAATTTCAAATATTTCAGCAAAATAAAATTAGTCCTCACACCTTGGCCACCTTCCTCTCTGCATCTATCTTTTATATGGTTAACTCATAGCAAGCAGCCATAGAGTAAAGCAAGACCAGGTTATTTTTCTGGCTTTCTAGGCAGAGCAGGGAGAGGGTTTGCCCTGCAGCATGGGGGCACCTGCTCACAGCCACAGGCACTGGCATCAGCAGGGGTGAGAGCTGAGGCTGGGGACAGAGCCAGCCAACGGCAGCACCAGTAGGTTGCTGGCAGGCTCCCTTTTGCACAACCCGCTGTGCATTAGCGTAGTCTAAATAAGCATTTGGCAAGCCTCACATCACCTCATACAAGAGCATCTCCCTCCTTAACGTCATTAATTCTGTGATAAATACATCTCATTCCAAGTAGGAACAATCAGGAAGGCAAAATTCTGGAGGGGATGGCGCAGAGAAGCCTCCAGAGTTTGGCTAGACCTTACCAAAACCATTCCAGTGCTTTCAATAGGATTACCACTGTGCAATGGAAATGAGAAAAATGGGATTATAAGTAGTCAAAAAATACAAATCTGTATGTGACCTGAGTCAACTCATTACCATGTTAGATACTAGGAGTATATCAATTCATCTTCAAGCTCCTATATTTTGTCTTCATTACTGAACACTACAATTGCAGGACAATCTTCCTCATATTTCCATTGTAAGCTATGGTCTTGCAGTAGACAAGTATGTACTCGATTTTAAGTTATAAAATATAAGCAGCTTTAAAAAATGAAGAATGTAGTGAACTCTTATTGTAATAAGATCACACATGGAAATTAAAACATGCAGTTTCAGTACCTGAGCATACCTCAGAACAAGAGAGCTTGGGAACACAGAACTCCAATGGCATTTTCTGAAATAACTAGAATAATCTAAAGGTACAGCTGAGCAGATAACAGTTCAGAGGATATTCGTAGAAGATGCTAAGATGCCTGTACTCACAGTTTCCATACAGATAAATAAAAACCTTTATTTGTAGTCAGCTAGAAAAGGAATTAAGCTGTTTATCTGACTGCCCATGCAATGTTACATGCATTTATTAGTCTGTTTACCCTCTGATGCTAAGCAGTTTCTCAAACATGTACCTAACAATGCAGCGTGTCCTATAAATTTGCAGTACCTTTTGCAACATCAAAGATGATGAAGGAAACAAAAAATAGAGTTGCTATCAGTGGAAACCAAATCTTTTTAGTTGATGGATGACAGGAAATCTTCCATAAGGACCTTGGTAATTAAAATGTCAACCAAGTTAGATTGTTCTTCCTGTGTGAATGGCATCTCTTCTTAATTATCCATTCTTTATATGGCACTTGGATCCTTCAGACAATCAAACGTAGCAAGGCTAAGTTCACACTCCAGTAGAAAAATGAATCATCCTAATTAACGTTTGTTTCAAGAGGCTAGTACTCTCCAGTCCACAAGCAACAGAGTACCCTCGCTCTCCCTTGAGAGGGAGACTTGTAAACCACGCTTAGCTATTCTCTAAGGGCATAGAATATAAAAGCTGTAAACTTTCAAGCTAAACAAAGGATTCTCACTCTTCATGAAGAATATTCATATTTATCAACACAAGCATTGGTGAGTAATTAGACTGCTCCTCTAGCTCTCCCTCATGGAGCATACAGCTATGCTTGTAGAAAGGCACACCTCCTAAATGCATATGTACAAATTCCAGTCAGGTTGTCCAGATTAAGCAGAGGTATTTCAACTTTTGTCATTTTGACAACACTAGGCAACTATAATATGCCTGAACCATAAGGCAACTCCTCCAAAGTTGATAGTCCAAAAGCAACCACTCCTTTTGTAGGCTTGCTCTTTTCACGTTGTGCCTACACAGCACTTACCTCATCTGATCATATAAATGCTGTCCTGTTATCTTTCTGACGGCACAAAACATTTTATGCTTATACATCGTTTTTCCCTCAAGAAGTCACTTCTTAAATTATCACGCCTTTGGAAATACAACATGCTTGGCTACGGTTTATGTCTGGTAATCTAACATCCACTGTTTGTGAATTCTAGGGTTAAAGAAATATGTAGCAGATTTCAGATTGTGGGATCAGGAATAATTCCACTGGCTTATAAAATACAACCTGCAGTACAGTATATCTGGCTCCTCCAGAGTAACTGGGTACCTGTCTTAAGCAATGTTTCACTTCACTGAGAAAGGCCAGTTTGGTTACTCTCTACTAACAGAATGTATTATAAAGCCAGGCCAATTGCTTTCTGACATGGATCAGGTTTACATTACAAATTATAGCACAGCCTATGTTTGAGCTTTGATTAAAGGATCAAAAAGATTATACAGACTACATGAATATTTAATTAATGAGTTGTATTCATTGGCTTAACAGGGCCCTTTTTGGGGCTCAAATTGGAACACAAATTGGTGCCTGGCAAGACAGCTTAAGTGCCTTGTCATAGCGTTATCCAGCTGCTGAGTCCCCATTCCTTCCAGCAGTGACATGTCTCCATGCACCACACTACCCCAGTTGCTTCTGCATGCAGAACTTGCACAACTGCTGTAGCACCTCTCTGTCAGCAGCTAGGGAGGAATCCCAAGAATAAAATTCATGCAAGCTGTTAGCAAGAGGCAATCTGCTTCTGTGCTGACAATTCTGGATTCACAGCAAATCAGAAGAGAGGTCATCTGGGAAAAATGGACTTCACTGATCTCTAGCTGTCAGGCAGGGCAGGATTAAACTGTACATCCGTGCAAACCTGCCTCTCTTCCCTATGGTCAGACACACAGCCACGCCGAGTCTGAACACACCAGGAACTGTATCCTGCAGTCAGTGTTGAGCCCATTTCCCCTTGCAGCAGCAAACACGTGGCAAACGTACCAAGTCAGTCACTGGGGGCTCCTGCTAGGACAGCCCAAGGCTGAAGGCCACAGCGAAGAGCTGAGGAGAGGCTGGGCTCCAGATGGCTCCACAGCATGGCCACCCAGGCATTGCACCATACGCTGCGGCCAGCAACATGGTCCTTGCTCGGCAGGTACCCCAGGCTTTTAGCTGTATGTGACCTGCACCTAACGCTGCACTATTCAAACAGCCCAGTTCTGCAGCTGGGATGGGGGTGTGCTTTAAACATGGCCTCATAGTTAGCAGGACCAGATCAGGAATACCTTCTATAACATGTACCCATCCAAGATGGCTGTTGAATTTCATGGGTATCACACAGCCACAGGTGAAAATCATAACAGTTGATGAAAGCATTAGTTGGACTGAAATATCACAGGCTAGTCAGGAAATTAACATTTGAAATTATAGGCATAGGAAAGGAGTGAGGGAAACAACAATGAGCAGGCAGCATTCCCTTAACAGCTATAATTCTAATATTTACATCAAAATATTGAATGTTAGTTAATGGTTTTCACACAATATCCATCAAGCAAGATGCACACACTACAGCACAGAAAAAAAACCTCCATTGCAAATATTAAAAAGTTTGTGATGGTCGTGACAGAAATAGACATACAAAATGCCTCAGTTTCTTCCTCAGAAGAAATAGTCATGATGCTGCACGCACCAGCTTTCCTATGTACAATGTCTTTCAGGGAGAAAAGCAAAAACACAGGTTTCTTCTTAAATTAACTGTTTTGGATTGTG